TCATTTGGTCCGGCCGCGCCTCAGCCGGAGGAGACTTTCTTCTAGCCCGCCCACGCAGCTTCGCCTCGCCCGCACGCACGGCACGCACGAACACGAAACCGAAACCGATTTCCCGGTAGGGGGGCTCTCCGTTCCAATTCGATCTCACCCCCTCACCTCCGATTTACACGGTGTCGTGCCCCTCCCACCCCCCCAGGGAGGTCCCGCCTAAGCGAGGAAAGTTTGGGAGCCCCATCCCCTGTCCAACCCCCCCAAGGCGGCCCCGTAGGTTGTCGGAGCACCATACTATTTTACACGGTTTCGTGCCCCCTTCCCGATTGAGACCACATCGTGTTATGCGCCATCGGGAGAAGGGGAGCTGCGTGCAAAAGAAAAAGATGAGGTGGCGGGTGAGCTGGAGAATGAGCGGGAGGAACAGGACGAAGACGAACAGCAGCAGGAGTTGGAGAGGAAGGAGCGGGAGGACCAGGGGAAGGCGGCGGAGGGAAGATGAGGGGGCGATAGAAACACTCGGATCCAGGAAAAGTGGCCCGCGCTGGGGCGAGAGCGCCATTCTGAACGACGGGAGCAACGCGCCGATCCGAAAATGAGGCCTACGCCTGCAGCGGGAACACCAGTTTAAAACAACGAAAACAACCGAATTGTAGAAAACCATAGGACGCATCATTGTTTCGAATCCTGAACGGACAGGGCCCGCCACCTTCCGGGCAACTTCAGGGGAAAAAGGGGAGTAGCAGTCAGATTGTTCAAACCGTGGAGAGGGGCGAGTTTGGTGCGCTCGCGCCTTTTATGACATCCGACCCCTCCCATCCATCCCTTCCAAGTGCGCTGTTTTTCGATCATCCACCAACGCGTGGCATAGCGGACCTGGAACTCCAACAAGGAACCCCATCGTGTAATGCGAACTCGGACAAATTAGCCTGGTGCAGGACCCAACTTCCTGCAGATGTGAGTACCGCAAGACGAGTGGAAACTAAGGGAGGGGGCTAGCAAAAAGACTAAAGCGTGAGTGAGGAGGACGGGGCGATGTTGCTGATGGGGTCGACGAGGTCGGCTGTGGCGGGTTGCATCTGGACGTGACCCGTTACGGCTGATTTGCCCGTCTGCCGGCGCGGTCCTGGGGAGCAGCAGGCGGCGGGGCATTGGGTGGGGCTGTCTCTGGGGCTACGAAACGTGTGAAGAGTGTGCCGAAGTGGGCGCGGTCACGCATGCAAGTCCTGCCACTGGGACCTTCGGTGGAGCTTATGGGGCCACGAAACGTGTGAGCGGTGTGTCGAAATTGGCGCGGGGCCACGAACGTGTGAGGGGTGCGTCGAAGTGGAGAAGGCAAGCTGACCCTGGCACTTGGGCCCCAAGTGGACCTCCCAATGGGGGCACGGGACGTGTGAGGGACGCGCCGAAATCTTGCGGAGAAGGAATGCAAACCTAGCCACTGAGACCTCATGTAGAGCTCCCTATGAGGCCACGGAACGTGTGAAGGGTGCGCCGGAATCGTATGGAGAAGGCATGCGAACCTAGCCACTGGGGCCTCGGGTAGAGCTCACTATGGTGCCACATAAACATGTGAAGGATGCGCCGCAATCGTGTGGAGAAGGCATGCAAGCCTAGCTACTGTGGCCTCAGGTAGATCTCACTATGGGGCCACGAAACGTGTGAGGGGTGCGCCGAAATCGTGTGGAGAAGGCATGCGAACCTTCATAGCCACTGGGGCCTCAAGTGGAGTTTCCGATAACGTGTGAGGGGTGCGCTGGCATGCTGTGGTGAAGGCATGCGAGTCTTGCCACCGGGGCCTCAGGTGGAGCCCCAATCTGGGGCCACGGAGCGTGTGAGTCGTGCGCCGGAATAGTGTGGAGAAGGCATGAGAACCTAGCCACTGGAACATTAGGTGGAGCTTCCCGCGAGGCCACGAAACATGTGCGGGGTGCACCGAAATTGTGTGGAGAAGGCATCGGCATGAGAACCTAGAAGCTGGGCCTTAGGTGGAGCTTGTGTAAAAGGAGCTGCGTACATTGGAGGAGAAGGTGGCGGATGCGCAGGAGGATGCGGAGGAAAAATAAAAGGATGGGGAAAGTGTAGGACGAGGACCATCAGCAGCAGCGGCAGCAGCAGCAGCAGCAGGAGCTGGAGTGGAATACGCGGGAGGCGCAGGAGGACCAGGGGAACGCGGAGACGGGGAAATGAGGGGGGCGACAACGATGAAGAAGGACCCAGATCCAGAACAGTGGCCCGCGCTGGGGCGAGAGCGCCACTCTAACTGACGGGAGCAAAGCGCCGATCCGAAAATGAGGCCCACGCTGACCGAAAACGGTCGCACTTATTAAAACATGAGAACAGTCAAACGTTCAACTCGTGTGTGTAACGCAAGAACACGGAAAGGCCCGATTATCTTTCGAACAGAGTCAGTTGAGAGAGGAGAGTAAGACTCAGGATGTGAAATTTACAGAAGGGGAGGAGGGGGAGAGGGGAGATTGATGGGGCGATGGATTCGGGGGAGGGGGGGATGGAGGGCGGAGGGAGGCGGGAACCGCCCAACCGCCTCGAGGCCCCACTCGGGGCGACCTCGCTCGTTTCGAGAGGGCTGTCCCAGCAAAGCGCAGCGCAGGAAGGGATTGACACGGGTGCCCCTGGAGGGCAGGGATGGGGAGGGAGAGAGGAAGGGGGAGGGATGGAGGGAGGGATTAAAAGGAGAAAACAACATAGCATAAACTGACAGAAGTCCCCGTGCATTTCTCGGTTAGACAGTGGACACCCTTCTGGCGGCGCCTCAACCGCCGCCGCTGGCGCGCTTCGCGCGCTAGGGCATGGGGGTCCAGCGACGGCCCGAGAAATCTGCGCGGCCCCCTCACTGTTTATGCTCCTGCTGTTCCTGTTTCGAGGGAGGGAGGGGGGGAGGGAGGCGGGAAACGAGGGACAGGGAAGGGGGCGGGACCGGAAACAGGAGATGGACCCGCGACCCCGCAGAAAAATTGCAAACGGTTGGGTTTCGCGATGTCCGACCACCGCCCAGCCGCCGGGCCTGAGCACGCGTCTGTACTCCGCGAGGAGCGCGGCGCCCCTGGGCGCCACGCTGGCGATGCCCAAATTGCACCTGAGGGGTTTCTCGGCAGACGCCGCTGCATCACCGGTGGAGGCTGCACCCACCAGCCCCTTGTCCACCACCAAGGCAAATCGCCGCTGCCATGCGGGTTCCAAGGATGCGGCGTCCGCCACGAGCCACTCCACCCCAGGATGACGATCACTCATCCAGCCGACGACGGTCGGTGAGCAGTCCACAGCAGTCACCTCAAGGCTTGATGTTGCACCGCCGGAGTCTGAGGCGAGCTCCACACTCAATCCAGACGTGCCACAACCGACAACCAGGGCACGAGCCGAGGTTCCGGGCAACAGCTGCTGATCCGCCAATCCGCCTGCCCAATTCAGGGGGGCCCATGCTGGACTGTTGACTTGCTTGTGCCGCTTGTCGTTTCTGTTATAGCCCTGTCTCTCTAGATTCCTCTTCCTTGTTTTTTCAAACGCGTCGTATCCTCAGTTTGCCAGGTGGGCCCCCGGCGCAACACTACAAAGCGGGTGTCTCTCGGCCCCCTGGCAGGTTGCCCCACGGCCAAAAGGGCCCCAGACGCGCCCAGGTGCCCCCAGAGGGCTGTAAGAGTTTGAAGCTGGTCGGGAGGCCCAACCAGATGATTCGCCGAATGCGAAGACTGTACCCAACTCTGTTATACCGTAGTAACGATAGTCCCAAGAGCAGGAGAGAGTCGCGGGAGCGACGGACCATGTCAAGCGTATATTTTTTGGGTCCCAATGGCAAATAGCGTGCCCCGCGGTGAGGCACAGGCAAATTTTGGCGGCCGGCCGCTTGAACACAAACGGCCGCGGACAAAAGCTCGCTACGCCCGCATTTGCCCAACCTCCTCTACTTTCGGGGAGGATAAGACGAAACGCGTGTCCGCCGCGAGCCATCCATCAAAACACTACAATGCACAAGGTAAGCAACATCAGGCGGGCTCAACAAAGGCAGGTTGACCCGCATGCAAGTTACTCTGCAGGCAAGTTACCTCGCTGGCAAGTTACCCTGCAGATAACTACTCCTCAGGTAACTCAGATGAGCTCGTTTGGCCAGCCCTGTAGGGAGTGACGTTTCAGGTGGTGCTTGAAGGACTGTGCTCCTCCCATGACTTGTAGGAGCATGTCTCTGTCAATGCTCCCCTTGGTGTGGCCATCCGCATTCATATCGCGGGTGTCACACCACCGCGCACAATGCACGAGGCCTCGCTCCATCATTTGACGTATCCAACTGATGCGTCCCAAAAGTATACACCCACTTGGTTTCATCAGGTCTTTGCTTGACAAGGACTTGAAGACATATTCAGCATCAACCGCCAAAGTGACCTTAATGCTCAAGCCGCCCATCTCAAGTATGTTATTCAATTGAATGGGTGTCAGCGGCCCAGCGTGGAACTCGTGCAGAATGACGATCGTAGGATAGCAGTCCTCCAATTTGTGGGCCGCTGCAAGTGTTTACGCTGAGTGGCTCGAGCGGACCTGCAAGCGGTGCGACTTGCAGTGCGCGTCGACAAGATGGGCGGCGGGTTCACCAGCATGCGTGTCCACTCCTTAGCAGGTTTGCCGCGCGAAGACCACAACCTTTGACTTCGTCGTCGGCATCTCTGTTTAGACGCCGGTCGCCGGAGTCGCTGTGCAGGTCGACCTCGCCCGTGGGTGTCATCGCTTGATAGACGGTCTTATTGGGGCAGGCCTGCAACTTCCTGGTCATCGCGTTCAGTCGTCACACGTGCAAGTTGGTCGGTTCTTGGAAACGCTGTAGTGATGTAACACGCACGATCAACCACATTTGTGTGATAAGGGCGTAAGCCCAAGCTCCTCTGAGGCTGACAGGCATGTCAGCGATCATCTTCGACGCCTTGGCCTCAGCATCTGCGCCCGTGAGTTCATGGTGCTGGATGGGACGGAGCTGTTTTACGCATTCACCTTGGCCATTAGAAACATTGTCGTCGCTGTCCTTCGCATATCGCACGGCGCAGCTGGCATGCGCGTGTTTGTGGAGCCTACATTTCCCAGAAATATCCACAACGTGCTTGACGCACTTGTCGATGGTGTCCTCGGTGCCTGCCATGGTTATGTCATCGACATGACTGGCAGTAAAAGGGTTAGGGCTCGTCTCAAACTCATCGACGTATGACGTGGGTTTAAGACCAAAACCTCTCGGGGTCTTCCTCAGCTTCAGTGAGAAGGCTTTGATGCATCCTGCGCGCCAATACCTGGTTTGATTGCAAACAGTGTCTCGACTCATCATTGGGCTCGAAGAATGGGAGGGGTCTGAGATCAGATGCTGAACCAGGTGGCAATGTAAAACACACCACGCGTTCCTTTTCATCAGGTGCTTCAGAACGCCCCTGATACGTGAGTCCCTTCAGGAAAGCCATGTTGATGTCTAGGGATACAATGATCTACGGCTTCCTGCACGCTGCCGCGCTAGAAAGCGATCGCTGGCTTGACCGCCGCGCCGTCCCTGGGGACGTTTCCACGTCGAACGCATCGAGGCCCATGAAAACCCGAAGTACCAAGCGCAATATGATGGTACGTTCCATCGCACTCTTTTCATTCTTGACGATCTTCAATGTGTATACACACCTCGACGTCATGGTGTTTGACTACTGGGAAATATCTTGCATATTGAAACACCTGTTGTCAAACCACGTCTTGAGTTCAGTATATAGTGCCTTCGAAACCTTGGCTGAATTCGCCTGAATATCTGCCTTCGCCTTCGCCTGAATATCCTCCTTGACGACTGCAGCTCGTTTAGCTGCAGCGGCCACACATACTCGCATCGTGGTCACGGGATCGAAGTCCAATATCCTGTGCTGTTGATCGGATAAGACTACCTTTGGCACTTCTGTCGTAGAGCCGAGTTCTACGCATTCTCCGTGCTCGCCACAGTCCAATCCGCAACTGACATCTTCGTCCGTGGAGATTAATGCGACATGATACGTCTCGGTTGCGTTTACGTCCCGTGGGGTACCCCGCGTAGGCGGGCGCCCCCGCTGTTCCTCAGCTACTGTGACCAGCACGCTATCGTCAGTAACCATCTGTGTGGGTACAGTAGAGAGCTCGTCTATTGGAATTGCCTCCAACAGTACCCCTTCGTCTTGTAATTCTGCACGCCGCACATCCATAATGCGTGCCGCGAGGTTCCTCATGGACGGCGGGCAGCCGGCCGTCTTCCTGCGGTGGCTCGACTTCTGGGACCTCCCTGGCGTCGTTGCCTTGCGCTGGCATGTCGGCCAGTTCTTCGAACTTCGTCATGTCTTGTTCGAAGCCCGCTTGAGGTCTGGTGGACTTCAGGCACTGGATGATTCTTTGCGTGTGCTGATCCTGTTACGCCGTGAATGTTTAGGGCAGTGCCTTCGGCTTCGTAGTAGTGGAAGCCTGGGCTCACGTCGTTGTCGTAGTGCACCAATGTACAACTGTCAACATACGTCACTGGAGGTAGCCCGTGAATGTTCTTGGGCAACCTAACAGAAACGACGTTTCAATACTGAAGAAGTTTCTGATGAGGTACAGAATGGAGCACTCCCTTTTTGGTCGGGAGGCATCCAAAGGTCATAGCAGGTCGCCCCGCAAATAGACTGGCTACGAATGCCAACACAGTCCGTGATGCTGCGCTGCCCAAGCCAATCTCTCGAGTGATCAAAGCTTCAATGCAATGCGAGCGTCGTGCGCCACCGCGCTGGACTTGCTCATCGCGGCTCCCAACTCCCATGATAATTCGACCCCATATCGGGAACGTCCCGTACGAACGGGAAGGGTCCATTCCAGCCGCCCCAGTCGTCTTTCGTAGTAGTGGGACGTGGTAATCAACGAGATCTCCTTCGTCATAGTAATGCTGACCAGTGATGGTCGTCTTGGTCCGTAGTGCATGGTTCGTTTTAGCTATTGCGGTGGCCTGGGTGATAGCCTCAATGCTTATCCGGCGGATAGTCTGTGCTCGAATATGATAGGATGTCTCCGTCTGTTGTTCGCCGTCTAAAACAAGCAAATCAGGTAACATCGAAGGTTGTCGGCCAAACAGTGCGTTGCACGGAGAAACCTCACTCAAGGAAGTAAACGCACTGGCGGCAAACAGAGCCTCATGCAATGGTCGGGTGGACACGAGTGGTACGTCAAACCTATTGAGTTCAGCCTCCATGACGTGAAGTAGATGTCGTAATATGTTATTTCTGGCTTCGATAGTCGTTGCGTGTTGTCCACGCGCACGTATCCCCAGCTCAATGTACTTTGCCTTGCGGACTGCCTTTGTGGTGTCATGTTTGAAAGCACCTTCCCCGGCAAAGTAACATGCTTTGGCACAACCGTGTTGCGTCCAGCACTGATGACACGCATATAAGACGCCTGTCTTTGTTGTATATTGTATCTCGATTCCAGCACCGCACCGAATGCAACGGTCGATTCTGTGAAATACCTTATGTTCTTGTTTGTAGAACATCAGATCGCATTCGACATCATGAGCCTTGCCGGGTAGCGCGGTAGACGGCATGATAGTATGTCCAGGCGTTTCCCAAGCCCTGCGCTCCTGGCATGTCTCGCAGACGCCTTTTATCGAGTTTAGCCTACCGCTGTCCAGACCAGCCTTGGTTAAGATGAGTCATCTTAGGCTCCTTGGCGTGGGTCCACCGCAGATGTAGTTTTCGTAACTCGCGTGTCACCGCGCTTGGGTCAAGGCTGCGTGAGTTCGAACCTCGACCAGTCTGGAAGCCTTGGACGAGAAGCAGGGTCGCCGGCAGATGGTGGTGGAGGTGGATCGCATCGCTTTTGTCGCCCACGTCTGGCCACTATTTGTAGTAGTCGTCTGAGGTCGTCCGAGCTACCGGCGCCGCCCGAGGCAGGTTGCCCCGCAGTCGGTTCAGCTGCATGTCTGCCTACTTTGATGTCGTGGCTGCCGGCGCCAGCTGACGGTCCAGCGCTGGGGCCAGGCTTCGGAGGTCGCAGTCGCGCAACTTGTTTGGCGGCTGGTGCCGCGGAAGCAGCTGTCGCCGCAAGTGATGGGGCTGTCGGTTCAGCAGGTGCTGGAGGCCCGTGTCCGCGGCCATCAGGCAGCTTCCACGGTTTGGCAAACTTGCATTTGCCAGGTGTAAGTAAGTGGCCAGGCTTAGCCTTGCCATAGCTCTCCTTGCAGTTTGAACACTCCCAGTTGTAATTCTCTTTGTCGTACCACCTCCAGTGTTTGGGGTCTCCATCATGCGAAAGGGCGTGCATGTTGACGTTATCAGCACATGCAGGACATCCCCATTCTCCCGATGGTGGTCGTATGATACCTCCGTCAAAATGTCGGAAGATAGTTGGGCCATCCAAATCAGATCCGCGTTCGCGACAAGAACAGATGACGCATGAT